TAATAAAGTGTGTAACTTTGTAGGGTGTGTAGATCATTTCCCTTATCAATAACACTATGTCCTCAAGATTATCTTCTCTTTGGAAGGATATTTTATCCATTGATAGGGAATGTGATAGAGCCACCATGTGCTTCTCACATGAGCTTGGTGATGGCTTTAAAACTAGCTTTTGGAAGGATATTTGGCTAGGAAACTATCCTTTAAAGCTTGAATTTCCCTGTTCAATCTCACGTTAGACAGGGACTTAATAGTTGTTGATTTGAAACCAACCAACAGGGAGGGTTGGAATCTTCAATGGCGTAGATCCCTTTTTGGAAGAGAACTAGATGAGCTTGAGATGTTGGAAGACATTCTGCGAAGTAGTGTTACTATTTCCAAAGACAAAACGTATAGAATAATTTGGAAGCACTACCCCTCAAGATATTCTGCAAAAATGGCATACTTGTTTCTCGATGTGTCTCCTACCTGCCTTGATGAGAATCTTTGCAAATTAATATGGAATCAATTGATGCCTGCTAAAGTTAGTGTCTTTGCCTGGTTACTCTTCTTAAATCACCTCCCGACCAAGGATAACCTCATACAACAGGGTGTTGATTTAGCATCCAACCCACTATGCATCCTATGTGATAATTATATGGAAGATGCAAAGCATGTTTTTGCTAAGTGCAGATTTTCTCAAAGCCTTTGGAGCTGTATATGCTATTGGTGGGACTCACATTTATCCCTATTGATAGCATCTCCCATTTTCTTCTTCAGCTTTGCTCGCTTTCAATCCCAAGGAAAGCATGGCATTGTTGGGCTCTTACCATCTTTGCAACAATCTGGACTATTTGGTACTTCGAAAATGGTGTTGTTTTCAACAAATTTTATTGGGATGAGAGTAATATCAGAGACTTAGTGCAGGTTAAAACTTTTGTTTGGATTAAAGGAAGCTTGAAATTTGCTAGGTTTTGATTTAGTGATTGGTGTCAAGTTCCCAATCCTTTGTGCAGTCCAGTCTTAACACCTTCCCTTCCTTCTACTTTGTGTTTTCTAAATGTAATGGGTGAGTACCTCTTGTACTCTTTCTTTTAATAAAATTTTGATTTATCAAAAGAAAAGTGAACCAATGATGAACATTTGTGAATAGGTTTAATGTCAGTAAAAATCCTTGAACTTTGAAAAAGAAGTCATTATCATCTCTTTACTGAAAAACAGTTCATAATAATCCTTAAACTTTGGTGAGGAGGCCAAGTGTCGTTCTTCTGTCAATGGACATCTTGACGCCATCCAAAAGTTTATTAAGCTCTCTATTGAGTTCAATGGTGTTTCCTATGTGGTGCTGATGTGGCACTAACTTGGACCTTTCTTTTTGGCCAACATGTATTATGGATCTATTTGAATAGAAACCAATTTTTTTGGGTAATGCTGTAGGGACCAGTTCGGTCTCCAAGCCAATTACTCCCTATAGGTTTTTTTTTTTTTCTCTTGTTAAATTTAAATTTTAAAATTTCACTTTTTGGTCCTATAATTTTAATTTTTATATTATTAAATACTTAAAATTTTAAATATTAAATCTTAAATCTTGAAAATATAACCCTAAGACATCATTAAACACTCAATTTGAAAAGTCTAAACCCTAACATTATAATATATATATATATAACTCAAAAAAATATAAATCCTAATATCATAAAATATAAAACTCAAAAAATTTAAACTCTTACACTCTAAATATTAAATCTTAAAAAATCTAAACCTTAACTAACATCCTAAACATTGGCTAAGTTATGAACCCACAAACATAAAGTGACTAATTAAACAATATCAAATGAGTGGGTAATAATATACAAAGAATTAATTTGTTTAACTTTTATAGGTTTTTCTAACCTGTCCTAAGTGTAGAAGATAATGCCTTAGGGTTTTCATTATTGTAAAAGAGTATATATATATATATATGTGTGTGTGTGTGTGTGTGTGATATATTGTGGAATACCTTAACTACCCTTTGTACACATATATATTATCATCCCCCCTTAATTTGAGCGGGCATACAATGCACGTTCAAATTGGCTCTGAGTATGAAACAAAGGCAGAGAAAGAGCCCTAGTCAAGATGTTTGCACATTGGAAATAAGAAGAAACATGCCGAACAGATAGAAGCCCAAAAGTAATCTTCTCATGCACAAAATGAATATCAATCTCAATATTCTTAGTTCTCTGATGTTGAATAGGATTAATAGACAGATATATAGCACTAAAATTGTCACAAAAGAACACTGGGGCTGTAGGAAGAAAAGTATAAAGCTTAAAGAGTAATTGGCGAACCCATAACACCTCAGCAGCAGCATTAGCAAGAGCATGATACTCAACCTCCGTACTAGAACGAGCAACGGTGTGTTGTTTCTTGGATGACCAAGAAATAAGAGAATTACCCAAAAATAGGCAATAACCAGAAACAGATTGTCGAGTATCAATACAACCTGCCCAATCTGCATCTGTAAACATATGCAAAGAAAGTGAAGAATGACAATAGAGCTGTAAACCATAGTCCATGGTACCTTTCAAATAACGTAAGATCCATTTCACAGCTTGAAAATGAAAAGTAGTAGGCTTATGCATAAACTGACAAACTTGACTCATTGCAAAGGCAATATCAAGCCGAGTAAAGGTAAGGTACTGAAGAGCACCAACAATGCTCCGATACAAAGAAGAGTCATGATACAAAGCACCACCATCAGCAGTTATCTTCAGCTTTGGACTCAAAGGTGTGGAGGCTGGTTTACAATCATGCATGCCACTTTTATCAAGCAAATTAGCAACATATTTAGATTGAGATAGAAGTAAGCCAATATCATTAAATTGAGCACTAATGTTGAGAAAATAATTTAGAGAGCCCAAATCAGACATTTGAAATTCATATTTTAACAGAGAAATAATTTTACCCAACAAAAGCGTCGATGAAGCAGTGAGAATAATGTCATCCACGTAAAGAAGAAGATAAGCCATCAAACTAGATTTACGAAACACAACCAGAGACTAATCTGATTTAGCTTGAACAAAGTCACAAGAGAGAAGAAAAGAAGTAAACCTGTGAAACCTTGCACGTGGAGCCTGCTTCAAGCCATAAAGTGCTTTCTGTAACTTACATACATAATCTGGATGAGCTGAATCAACAAAACCAGAAGGTTGAGACATGTAAACAGTTTCAGACAAAGTACCATGAAGAAAAGCATTCTTGACATCGAGTTAATGAATAGGCCAAGAACGCATAATTGCAAGAGAAAGCATAGTTTAAATAGTAACCGGCTTGGCAACAGGACTAAAAATTTCATCATAATCAATACTTGGCTGCTGCATGTAACCTTGAGCAACAAGACATGCCTTTAATCTTTCAACACTGCCATTGGCTCTCTGTTTAATGCGATAGACCCATTTCGACCCAACAATATTAGCATTAGAAGGATGTGGAACCAGACTCCAAGTGTTATTCCGAAGAAGAGCTGAAAATTCCTCCGCCATTACAGTGCACCAATTCGGATCTTGACTAGCTTCTTTAAAATTATGAGGCTCTTGCAAAGCACAATTAGTAGCAAGCAAAGAAGGTAACACACGGACCTTACAGGTGCCATCTTGTGACCGTGTGACCATGGAATGACTTCTAGCACCATGATTCACAGCATGATCGGATGAAATGGAGGAACTAACAACAGGAACTTCAACAGCTTCAATAAGAGACGAGGTAGCAATAGGGTCACCTGCATGACTAGAAAGATCATGAGTAGCTGGTGATGAAATGGCAACAATCGGATTGCCCGATGCAGCAAGTGGAGAAGGAGCTAGCACACGTGGTGGACATGTAGGGAACATGGATGTGCAAGATGTAGACACAAGAATAGTGTAGGAATTAGGTGAGGCAATAGGAGAGGAATTAGGAACATCTGGAGATGGTATAGTGGGAGAACTAGCAAGTGGGACAGGTGGAGACTTAGCATGTGGGTGTATTGGAGGTGTGAGTACATCATCTAAAAGGTGAAATGGGGTACGAAAAGTAGATGGAGAAGTAGGATTAGGATGGATAATATTAGGGGAGTTATAAGGAAATAAATTCTCAGCAAACAAAACATGGCGTGAGAGTATGATTTTTTTACTAGTTAACTCAAGACAACGATAGCCCTTGTGATGTGTAGGATACTCAAGAAAATGACATAAATAGGAATGGGGAGCAAGTTTGTCAGGGGTTGTGGCTGAAAGATTAGGATAGCATGCACATCCAAAAGTCTGCAAATAATCATAATTGGGCACAACACTGAAAAGCACTTCATGTGGTGTAGAAAAATGTAACTTGGTTGAAGGTAAACTATTTAAAAGATGAACAGCCATATAAAGGGCTTTCACCCAAAATGTACTAGGTAAGTTTGCTTGAAAAAGTAATGAGTGAACAATTCTAAATATGGTGTTTCAAGTGCTTGCTGGTCTTGATTCAGAATATAGTGTTGCTAAAAGAACCATACCTCAACGGAACCCTTTTCCTAGCTTCCTAGAACTGCACTCTCTGTTGTTGCTCGAAGAAGCCACTCTCCTTCTTGAAGCAGCAAATCGAGACACTCAACTTGTGATTGCTTCTAGTAACCCACAATTGCTTCACCTTTCTCACCATCCACATGCTACTACCAACCTACCAACACCACCTGTTTCGTCTATTGCATCTTGGGACACTTTCTCTGGTAATCATCCATAACTTTATTATGTGGTTAATTCAAATTGAGGAGGATGATGGTCTGGTTGTAGAGGAAGTCGTGGCCACTTTTGGGGTAATCGTGGTCGTTCTTATGGAGGTCATCGCCGGCATGGTATCTCTACAGGTTCTGGGTGTGGTTTTGATTTTTCTGGTGGTCACAATGCTGTGCCTTCTCGGGTTTTGCTTACTCTTCTTCCTACGCCATCTATCCCAGCAGGTGGTAGCCAGCACTATCCTATTTCTTGTCAATTGTGTCAGCAGCTCAACCATCAAGCCCGTGATTGTCCATTGCTCACCATTTGGCCCACACCAGCTTCTCCCTCTCCCCATCCAACACTATTTGCTTCTTCCCCTAATTCGAGCTGGTACATAGACTCAGGTGCGTCTATTCATGTCACTAATAATTCTAATTCTTTACTCCAAAAGTCTTCTCATTTAAATTCTGATTTTGTTCAAGTTGGTAGTGGGCAATTGTTGCTTGTCACTATGTTGGGTAATACTGTTTGTTCTTCTCCTGGTTGGTAATTTCGTTTAAATAATGTTTTAGTTTCACCTGATATTACTAAAAATCTTGTGTCAGTTTGTCAATTTACTCGTGATAATAATTGCAGTATTAATTTTGATTATTCTGGTTTTTCTATAAAGGACATCAAGATGAAGAACGTCCTCCTTCGTTGCAATAGTTCTGATGGCCTTTATTCCCTATCTAGCTGCTTTTCCCAAGGTTTTCCTGAAGTTAATTCTGCTGTTGCATCTACTGATGTGTGGCATTGTCGTCTTGGTCATCCGAGGTCTACTTCTCTTCAACAACTTTTTTGGCGTGGTCTTCTTTCTTCCCAAAATAAGAGTGTCTCTTCTTATTTGTGTCATGCATGTCAATTAGGGAAGCATGTTCATCTTCCTTTTTCTGAGTCTGGTTCTGTTACTTCAGCACCTTTTGAATTAGTTCATTCTGATGTTTGGACCTCTCCAACTATTTCATTTAGTGGTATCAAATATTATTTATTATTCCTAGATGATTTTGGTCATTATTTATGGATCTATCCTTTACATTCTAAGTCTCAGGTGTTTCAATCTTTTCTTAAAATTTCAACCTATGTTTCAATACAAGTCGGTGCTCCGATTAAGGCTTTACAATGTGATAATGGCCGTGAATATGATAATTTAGATTTTGCTCAATATTTTCAATCAAACGGAATTCATCTTCGCTCTTCATGTCCCTTGACTCCCCAACAAAATGGGAAAGTCGAGGGAATGAATCGAACAATTATGAGTATGGTTCATTCTGATACCATGTAGAAGATAATGCCTCTCTCTAGGGTTTTCATTTCAATTTGCATCTAGGCTTCAAAGTTGGGACTTTCAGATGGAAGACATGGATCTGTGCCATCAATATGACCATAGACAACTTTGCTCTTTAAAACTGGAACCATTAACTCATGCCAAATAATGAAATTATTGTGATTTAAAGTCTCAAAAACAAAGTTCTTAATATTCGAGTCTGTGAATATAGGATGTGAGAAAGTATTAGAGGCAATTGGATTTGTTGTGGTTGACGAAATAGGTAAGATGGGAAGGATAGGAGATGCTGAACCTGTCAGATTAAAGATTGAAGGCCATTGGATACCACTAGAGATAGGAATTGGATTGAGTAGAGAGGTGATTGAGGAATTAGATATAGGGGCAGGCGACACAGACATAGGAGGAGGAGAGGAAATAGACTCAGTAGACATGGGGAAGACACAAGACAGACAACACATAAAACAAGAGGAAAAGGAAACCCTAGAAGACGCTTGGTGCTGGACCTAGCTCTGATACCATGTTGAAGATAATGCCTCTAGGGTTTTCATTATTGTAAAAGAGTATATATATACACGTGATATACTGTGGAATACCTTAACTACCCTTTGTACACATATATATTATCACTAAGAAAGCAATTAATGTACCATTTGGTTGTTTGTTGACTCAATGCACTCCAAGAGGGCGGGTGAATTAGAGTTGGAGAATTTTCGCCTCTTTGCAACCACCAAACAAAAATTAAAGAGAGAGTTGAGAAGAAGAGATTGCACAATGATTTTATAGAGGTTCGGTCCAACCACTTGGAACCTAATCCTCTACCTTGGCTTCACTCACCAAGGATTTCCTCCACACTCTCCACTAGCAAAAACAATGGTGGCTTAAAAGAGCCACTCAATCCTTTACAAGAAGAAGGATTTCTCTCAAATCTCACCCCTTTACACTTTAACCCCAAAGATCCTCTCTTCAGATCACTCTTGAAGGAATCAACACATCCCCAAGATCACTCACTAATAGCACAAGAAGAGGATTACAAATAAAGATCTCTCAAAGATCAAAATCTCAAGTCAAAGCTCATGTAGGTAGGTAAAGATATTCAATACAATACTTTCTAAACTTCTTCAAATCTGTTACCAACCATATTTATAGCCCCTTGCTCGAAAATAGCCGTTTCTAGCCGTTGGGGGTCATTAAATGCTCTGCAGGACGCAAACCTCGAGCTGCAGAATTGTCAGGAGAGCCGGCTTAACTTTATAAAGCCGGCTCTGTAGAGCCGGCTTACACTTTTAGAGCCGGCTATCCGAGTTTGCAGCACATTCTGTTTTTCTCAAGAGCCGGCTGCAAAACTTTGACCTGGCTTTACAACTCCGACTTTAAATACATTAAATAATTTTCAAATGACTCGACCATTGTGCATTAAATGCACCTTCACAGCCGGCTATAAAGTTGGAGCCGGCTTTGCGTCTTTTCTCCGTGCACTCCAAACAATGGTCTTCAAATTTTTGCCTGTAGAGCCGGCTGCAGCTTCCAGAGCCGGCTATCTGCATTCCATTTCACCAAAGCCGACTGCACTTTACCAGAGCTGGCTCTCTGCACATTTGAATCATTTTGGTTTATTTTTAGTGCAATCCAAGTTTACTTGCAATCTTTTAGCAACTTAACTACACACTTAAATAAACCAATTAGTCACTCAAATGTGTTTTGTAATCATCAAAATCATAGGTACAACATTGTTAAGTTACATAAAAAAAAAAGTTTGACTTTAATTTTAACATCTAATCAATTAAATTAAGACACGTAGTCTTCATGCTAAAATTAATATCATCTTGTTTTTGTTTTTGAATATGAATTAGTGGTTAAAAGGTGTATTCCTTAGCACAAATTAAAACAAATCCAACTTTTATTTGTAAGTTTCACATATTATTAAATAAATAGATATATATATATATAATATCATGAATTTCAATACAGTGAAAAAAGTTAATTATTAAATGATAAATAAGGTCATATGAAACAATTGTACGATAAAAATTATCTCATAATCATTTTCGTTTTTAATTTTATAATTCAAACTGCATTAAACTACAAAATAAAAATTATTTTATTTCTTGCTTTTTGTCTTCAAAGATATAAAATGGATTATATCTCTAGTTTCAGATTGGGCTGATTCCATATGTGTTTTGTTCAATCCAGTTAGATTTGTTCTCCGATTTGTTCCCCACATTTTCATTTTCATTTGAAGTTTTGAGTTTTTTTGGCATTAAAACCAATGAAGAATGATGTTGGATTAAGATCTGGGTAAGTGGATCAAAGGGAGAAGGCAAAGATCTGGGTTCTTGATGGAAAAATTGACAAATTGCAGCACTGATGAGTTTTTTTTTTTTTTTTTTTTGATGAATTTATAGAGGACTGGGTTTGTAGCAGATTTTTTTCCCTTGGAAGTGTCACTAGAGGCTTCATCTTCTCAAGTTTAGTTTGACAATTTGTTTTTAATCTAATTTATTAATCTTAATTAATTTATTAGGAGTGAATTAATGTTATAACCTTCATTAATTAGTAGTTTAATAGACTAAAATTCATGATTAATAATTTTAAGTAATTCTTAAAATATCATTTTACAGTTTTACCCTTTAATCTTTATCATATATAAAGGTCAAAAATGTATTTCCAATACAATATAACCGTCTTAATGCCATGTTTCTTTTATGAGGTGTTAATGCCAGTTTAACATTTCCTTAACACCGTTAGTGCCATGTTAGCACTTTCATTAACGGAGGTTAAGGGAGGGACCACAATGGCCTCTTCACAGAAGTTCAGGGATTATTATGATTTTTTTTTTTCTGTTATGGGATGACAATGACTTCTATAATAAAGATCAAGGATTTTCAACGATAGTAAGCCTTTGTAAATATTATATTTTTTTATTAGAAAAAGACGAAATTTATGTTAAAAAATAGCAATATAAAGAGATATTTCAACTTATTATAAAGGAGGATGATATAGAGACAACTTGTACTATTTTTTTATTTAATTTTTAAATGTTATTAAATGAGTAGATACATTTAATATTATTGGTTTCAAATGAATAAAAAATGATAATTATTTTAATGATATGTCAAGTTATACAAAAAGATAATATTAAAATGTTATCCTTAAATCATTTTCCCATGCAAAATAATTAACATAAATCCAAGCTAAATCATGTTACTTGATCCTGTGTTGTTCTTTGGCCTTTTTCATAGCTTCCCTGTGATCAGTCACTGCTCTAGCGCAATCCCATGAGTTATGGCACCAATCATGAAGGGTAAAAAGTGCATCCCTTGGCTTTAGTTATGGACCAGTAAAAGATTTCATCTGTATCAATTCTAGCCAACTAATTCGTTGACCCTGCACCTAGAATATATTATTTAACATCTACAATTTTCGGTTAAAGTACTGCTAGAAAGAAAAGAGGGGAAAAAAAAAGAGAGGATCAACTACCCCCAAATACCAATTTTGTTCTTGTAGCCATAAATCCCAACACCAATGTTTTGGATAAAATTTAGAAAATGTCAAATTTTCTGTTCATGAATAGGGATGGCAAGAATCCATGTTCATGCAACCTAGGAAGTCTTGGGTGGACTAGGGCGAAGGGATTTTTCCTGCCAAATTTAGTAGGGAGTTTTCTCCACCCACGTCATGCCATGAATCTCGTTAAAATTAAATAAAAAGTTACAAAATTTAAATAAATTTTTATTATATAATTTATTTTTACAATATATTTGGGTTGAGAAAAAAAAATTCTATTTGGTTATCAAAAAATTGAAGGGGAGAACAGAGAAGATGAATAATTTCCTTTTATTTTATTTTTTTAATTAATTTATTTATCTAAATAAGAAAAATAGAGAAAAAAGAAATGAAAAGATATAATTCCCCTTCCCTCCATTTCCCTTAACCCAAACATAGGGTTAATTTAACAATCTAGCTCAAAACAAAAATGTATAATTAATGATCTAAGAGATTTAGTGGTAGTCTTTCTACTTCAAGTATAGCAGGAGATTTTATATATGTTGAATTACAAAATAGAAAATAATTTTCTTTCATCCTGTTGCCTATTCCACCCACATAATTAGTATCTATATAAGACTAAACTGAATCCACAATTCATTGGTTAATTCAAACCATAAAAATTTATGTTAACTAAATTAATTAAAAGAGTTAAAAATTTATGTTCTTTAAATTTTCAGCTAAGTATTGATGGCAACAAGGATCCTCGCTAGGATCCCACCCCTGTTTAAATTATCTAGCTATGGGAGATCCCATCACAAAAATTGATAGGACAAATAAGTGTTTACTCATAATCATGCAATCTAAACTGTAAAATAAAAAACTCATAATAGTAATCACCTCACTTTTTGCTCTTTTTAAACATTATTATTAGGGTTTTTTTATAAGAAAAAAGCCTTTTATAAGCTGTTTTTTAAAATTCTTTTAAGTGATATATTTAAAAGTTTATTTTTAATTAATATTTTTTAAAAAATAATTGTTAAATTAAAAGTTATATTCATATAAATTATACATGTTAATTTGTAAATTATTTTAATTAATCCAATTACTTTATTAATTAAAAAAAATTTAACATTATTTTTTTATCTTGATTGCACAATGAAAAACAATCATTTTTTATATTTTATCTTATCTCACTCGCATGCCATGTGACTCGAACTTAAGATTTTTAATTTCCAACGTAAGGAGATGACTACTAAATTACTTAAATTCTTGGTAAAAAAAATTTAACATTATTAAATATATATTAATAAATAGATTTTCTCTTATCAAAGGGCTATAAATATTAGATTAATATAAAAATTAACATGCATAATTTACATGAATAAAATTTTTAATCCAATGATTAATTTTTTAAAATATTATTTGAAAATTAAGCTTTTAGACAAGCTCTCCCTAAAAAAAATTACAAGAGTATGATTGCCTATACTATTCATTAT